CATTAGGCAAGATTTCGACAGAAGTTCCGCCAATGGAAAAAAAAACTGTAAGACTATTAGTTCTACGATGAAAATTTTTTCAGAACAGAGGACAAGAGGATTAAAAAATCAAATTAAGACGTTTTTAGCTTTAGAGTCGAGAAGGATCGGTCCCAGACGGGAATGATCTCTTAAGAATCCTTTTATTAATTCTACACTGGCGCTATTTTTTTCCGCTTTGTTTTCTAAGGAAAGCTCAACATTCCAGGCATTTTCAGCGGAAAATTGGCCTGTAAAAATGTAAATAAAGCAACGAGCTGAAGTCGCAATTGTCCCATTTTCTAACCTTTTATTTTCAAGAATGATCAAGACTCGTGTAGACTTTGCTGATTCATGGCGGATTTATTGATAGCATGTGCTCCTATTTAGTTTTTAATTAGCTGCATGTCTTTACGATTATAATTGAAACCTAACCATTTGTGTAGATGATCTGTGTTAATAGCCTCTCGCTATTTTAAGAAGCGGGAACGTGCCTGTTAGCGAAATACAAATGATATTTCTTCTTTCAACCAGATGTTTCCGATTGTTTCGAACTGCTGCATGACAAACTTTATTTCTAGACGACATCGGAAGCAATTGACGATGAATGATACAAACGATTGTAGCTATACATTACACAAACAAACAGACTTCCAGTCCATGGAAGGTATGCCAGCGAGTTCTGCCCTCTGTCACGTTTCCTGATAAAAGGTCTCGTATCAACTTTATCAAAAGCTTTCAACTTTATCAAAAGATTATCCAAGACTTAAATAGGTGATAGTAGACTTTCAAAAGAATAAGACTGCCCACCAAATGAGATCCCCACCTGTAAGACAAACCCCCGAACATGTCCATGTAACAATGATAATTAGGACCACCTTGCACATGAAATATTGATGGTTGAATACATCAAACACGCTCTCCACAAGAGATTTCCGTAGCGACAGACGTAAACAAATAATGTTACACAGAGGCGACAGGCAAAGGTTTCCCATACAATCTTTCTAGAGAGAGCACAGTTCCATAATTAAAATAAAAAAAGTAGCAACCATTTGAAATTAAAAAAAAAACATCACGCTGGCATGCAGCTGAACAAATCTTACAATACACTTGCAGTTCTGTTATTTTGTTTTATTACAGAATTTACTGAGTGAATTTCGCTATTTCTTTTCATATCGTCTTAAATGCATGACCTCAGTGCGTTTTAGCCATTGCCATGTGGTCATATAAGACATATTTCTCCTTCATAACTGAGAGGAATAAAATTCCAAAACGTATTTTTTTGCCGCCTTGATTGCACAATCGAGATTGAATTGACTGATTTCAAACATTCATAATGCGCTGGGTCGGCCCCATCAAAAATTAAATCTTATTGGAATTAAGTACTCCTGGGCGAGTCTTGTTTTCATTGAACATATCTTACAATCGGTTCGGTCGAACACCGGCGCGAAGGTTTGCGTGTCGGAAGGAATGGCGATATTGATACAAAATACATTCCAACCCCCTTCATATGCATTTCCTTCCTTGCAATACGTTACGTAAGTTTAAATCCTGATACAGCTAGAACAAATATAGTTTGACATATAACAAGTGTTGGGGAAGTGATTTTTCTCAGACATTTCTTTCATGTTTGCAAGATATTTTTTTGATGCACATAGAAGTTCGTTTAAAACCCAGCGGTTTGGATCTTTCTGTTTCTAAGTTTTGCTGAAATTAGGTAACACTTTGGACGAAAGCATTCATGTATGTTTAAGGTAACGTTTGAACAAGCTGTTATTCTATTTTGTGGTCAGAAGTGTTTTTTCTATTTTTGGTTATGATTATAATTATGTTTAACTCCACAAAGACTGCTTCACTTGATCGGGAAACCATGGACCCGGTCGCGCCAGGGATCATAATCAGGGGCAATGTCTCTTCATGCTTTACAACTTGTATTTGTTTTTCTTCATATTCTGGCAAACAAGCTAGTTAATCTGTAAGCAAAGTGATTAAGGTACGTTATTTATATCAATATTGCCAAATAGGAACAATGTAAACGCTCTACACTTCTAAATAAAACAAAGATGGGTTCGATTTAGCAGCAGTCAGGTTGTGGAACAGTTGACGAATACAAAAATCTATGCTTGCAGCGCCAGAAACTTGCCAAAAGCTACAAAATTTACATTACACTAATAAACATTACACAAACACACACAAAACAATAGATATAAAGATCGCCTTGCAGCAAAATAGAAATTGATCATATACTTTGTTGAGAATCATGAAGGAGGCATAGTTAGAGAACGGACCGTCAGGGGTCTTCGACATTGTTTTGTTTCTGCGTCAATGCTTTGTTACAAACCAACACAACAATTACGATAAACGGACCGAAATCCCACAAAGCGATGATGGAGGTAAGCAGATTTCCTTTGTTAACCTCCTGCCAATGGAATTAATCTTTTTTATAGCAAGTGCAACAGCTATTTTCGCTACAACTGAGAAGTGATGAGCAATCGATGACCATAGATCTCCGTGAACAAGGGCAGTTTAAATATTATTGTACAGATGATAGGGAACCTTTTGCTTTTGCGATGACAAGCGAAAAATTCGCTCGATGTTGAATACTCTGATCTTGAAAGAGTCGGTAATTAAAAACAAAGTAAATCTATCGTTTAGCAAAATTATCTTCTAAAGGATTTTTAGCTTAGCAGCACGTTCTTAACTGATGTAATGAACCTCGAGGAACCTTGTGCTTTGGTTTAGAAGATCGCGAAATTCCCTCTCCTTAACTCACTTAAGCAAAGTTTAGCTTTCAGTAAGACCACTTACTCAAGCGTTGCCAATTTAGCTTAGCTTTTAATCTAAAATTTGATCTTCTAAACAGGGTTAAACATACTTAAAAACATTTATGTACACAAAAACATTTATGTACTTAAATCAACCCGCTTAAAAAGAAAATTCAAAGTCCATTCATTGTACATAAGAGGCCCAGATTAGCTTTCTTGTAAATTACAGGCCTTTAGTGTTTGGTATGAGCGAAAGAATGAATTACAGTACTGAAGTTGTAACGGTGTTTTATTTACGACGGGCTCTTCGAAGTGATATGGCGGAACGAGATCCTGACTCGCAGTTAAACCTTGAATTGAAGAATGAGATAAAAGTTCATGTATGCCAGTGTAAAAAAAAGAAATGCAAAAATGTTCAGGACCATTGCAACCTTAGTTAATCTTCTATTAACTGTACAATACCGAAAGATCCCTTGAAACCTCGTGACTCGGAATGGAGCAAATCTTCATAAATCCGTTCGTAGAATCAACAGCGGAAACCGCTGAATGTCGCTTGTTCTTTCTAAAGTGCTTGTACACTGTGTAAATCAGAACCATTCACACATCCGAGTTGCAAAAGTGATGGTACCTTGAACAGCTTTTCAGCCAAAACATTATAGATACACAATATCACAAAACAAAACGGTAAGTCTTCTAGTTTCAGCATGTTCCTCAAATCGGCAATCTTGTTGCTCCGAAATTGAATTGTTGTTCAATCAATGCCTCCAGACGTAACCAGCTTTCACTCGTGTGCCCATTTTCGCTTGTCCAATAAAGACGTTCAGCAACTTCTAGATGTTAATTCCATTGGTGTGGCCCACGCTTTGATTTCGCAATAGCATATTCTTTGTCATCATAGTGATTGGAAAACGACAGATATGATCAAAGTATCTCAGATCTCCATCTCCTAGCTATTACAGAACTTAAATCACATCGGCTTACTTTTGAAATGACTAGTAATTTGTTCAAAAATTGTCTTGTCGCTCCACGGCTTTGCTTCAGCCCACATGAGCAATAAATTATCATAATTATCCATGTAAATTTTGGAGTTTGCAATTTCTAAAAAGCTTTTATTTGTTGAATGGTTGAGAAGAACTGCCACTTTTGGCGACAAATCTTTCTTTGTGATTGCACAAAGATCATGAATGATGATCCATGTATCATTGGATAGCGCTCGACTGCATGAGCTGGGTTGAATTAAGATAATAAGGAAGACGTGAAAAGGATCGTCACGTTACGAAGCAACTGGTTAAAAATGTTCTCTAAATAATACTAAAAACAGCTATGATAACTTCACAAATTCGTAAATAGCAATTTTGTTCGCGAGCAGGCCAAAAGGAAAATGATAGTAAAAGGTTTTCAAGAATGTTCTAGACAGCAAATATAAAATTAAATTCGGAAAAGCTTACTAGATACAAATTCCATTGATTTGTCGACTAAGAAGAAAAGGAGATTTGCAAGTATTTATCGTCTTAAGTACAACAAGCATAATCTTGTGGTTTGCAAGAAACTGTAAACAGACATGGTTTGATGCTACTGTGGTTTAAAGATTTAATGAATGTAACCGAGAAGTTATAATTCATAGACCCAGCGTTTCGAAACTCCTGTCTAGTGCCTTCATCACACCTGATGAAGGCACTAGGCAAGAGCGTCGAAACGCAAAGTCTATGAATTGTAACTTCTCAGTTACATTCATTAAATCTTTGAGCCAGAGCAGCATTAAAACATGTCTGATTGTCCACCTGGTTGCCATGTGAACTTTACTATACATTGTAAACAGTTTGAGACTTCCAAAGGCACACCATGCTAAAACTAGTTTCGAATGTCCTATGGCAGTATGAAAGGTATCCTTTAATGGAAAACATTTTGTGCATTTGTGAATTTGCGAGGGCTGTTCATTAACTATCTGGGGTGGACAGGAAGCAACTACGAGTGAGGTATGGATAATCAATTTTTGATGCAAAAACCTTACATCACTTATTCTCAGACAAAGGCACTTTTGGACGGGAAGTGTTTGCAAATCCCGGCGCATTTATCATGGAATATTCCCAAAAATAGCGATCTTAGACGAAAGGTGATAATCCCCAATGACTGTAAAGGATTAATTAACAACCAAAAATAACTCACTGGATCAAAATGATAGGTTTGAAATTATGTTTTGATCAAACTCACCGAGAAAGTTCCAAATCATCTCAAGTACCACTTGTGATGTAAGTAACTGATTGTGGGTAACGCCACGTATTTGTCCTACAGATTACCTTCATTTTGTTTTCGTACCTAAACGCAGAAGAGCCGAAGTTTCAAAATCAGCTATTGAACAAATACACATAAGACAGACAAGATGGTATAATATTGAGCTCATGTCTAAAATCTTGTGAATCATTTCCTCCGACCCATAAACAAACAGCCATACTGCGCATTTCCGTTTGAGCATAACAGAAGGTCTTTGCCTCTCAATACTGGATTTATTAGCTGATTGGATTTTATCAACAATAAGTAAATAAAATTTCGACATGTAGGCGCATAGTATCACTGCATATTCTTTAATCAATCCCCATATGGCCATGGAAAGGGTCTTAGATGCTTTTACTTCCACCATTTCCGGAAAAATGCTTACTTAGTTTAGAAGACAATCATTTTATGACTATTTGTACTTGATAATGAAAACCTGGGGCTTAATTGATAATTTAAGAGAATAAACTTCTAGTCAAGGGTGGTAAGAAAGGAGACTGATAAATTCAAAACACGGCTGTGGGACATTTACTAGCAACCACTAAATAAAGGGGTAAGTTTCTGTAGAAAATGTGGCGCTGAGTCGGTGGGAGAGTATAACAGGGTAATTTGGTATTATCACTGTAAATTGGCCACCGTAAAGAGTCTCAAAGTTGAGGTTTCGAGCGTTAGCCCTCCGTCAGAGCGAATGAGCCACAGTTTCAGATGCCTTTCTAGTACATCCCGGATAAAGTGAGGCATTCCACAGATGGATGGATGCATGCATGCACATAGAGAATTAAATGTCACTTCCCACTGTGATTTAAAATTCCTTTTTTGAAAGAGAATCTGCAATCTCGCGTAAAACCTTTTCTTTTTAATTTGGTACATTAAGGAAATTGAAATAATCCGATCTAATTAAAAGCAAGCAGAATCTTTCGAAATAAATAGGCTGTTGAATGCTATTTTTGTTAATGTTGGTTTTTTTTTTTCTTTGCGGGAGTTCTTCAGCACGAACCATTCTGCCATTAATTTCTCTTTTGAAGCAAAGTTTGGAGAGCAGCAAAAAAGGAATGTTTTTGCAGCAACCTTAAGTTTGAAATATCCAGAGCCCTTTGCCAATGTCCGTGTCTCTTTGTTAAGTAAACTAAATGAAAATACACAAAAGGAATGCACGACCTTAAAAAACACTCTTCGAGTTGCATGTAGTTGGCACTGTTTTCCGCGTCGCTTTGATAAAGAGATCTAGTGTATTGAAATTTTAAGTTACTTTTCGGACTTCTTGTCTAGTTATAAACACAGGAAGTGCAAAGTTAATTCAACGACGTTTGTTCTATTTCGATGAACTAGACGGCCGACATCAGAGTAGATCTTGAAAGGTACAGAGGGACAATAAGATCAAACGGATATGATTTCTCTCGCAACTTGTCGTAGCACACAATGCATATATTTAATTAACATAATATTTCCTGTGTGCATGCTTCAATTAAACGAAATGTTTAATCGCATTCAGAATTCCATGGACATCAACAAGTCTCGGTCATTTTATGCAGGGAGATTCCAGGGAAAGCATGCATGACACGACAGTAACTTAGATGGTATCGGAATGAGGGGTCAAGTAAACACAAGTCATGTTATTAATAAGTCGGAAACTGTGCCAAGAAAGAAACCTCCAAAGATGCTTATCGACGTTGCTTTCCAGGAATCATGTGAGGAGAGGAGGTAATACAAACTGTTTTTTAATACCATCATAGCTTTGCAGATCCCTTCTTACGTAATACATTAAAAGAAGGAGAACCCTATCTAGACATTTAAACATTTGCCTTTCGACTTCTGCCCCAAATTTCGCAAAAAGACTAGATTAAAGTTAATGTTCTCAATTGAACATGGTCTATAACTGACTGGAGCTATTTAGCTCCTGCTAGAGGAGAAAGGCGATAAATCTTGTCGGAACTAAGTGCAGCAGCTTAAGGGCTGAATTGACGAAATTGGCCATGCTGGGATATTGACCTAAACATGAACTTGACTGTTTGAAACTAAATGCTAAAGATGTGTAACCAATTTTCCTACAATAAACTTAGATGATACGGCCAACCAAAGAAATCAAAGCTACCTAGTCTTAACTAAAAGCATCTTATAACATGGTATATGTTGTTAGAAATACAACAACAACAACAAATGCTATAAGACAGGGATGACAAATGGGAAATTCGGAAATTGCCAGACGCCGAGGCCTCTGTTTCAAAATCTAAGACCTTGACGCGAGTAAACAGTTACACTATGTCATAAAATTCTTTGTTATTACCACCATTACATCACTGTAAGGTGCTATCAACGACAGGAAATATTGGATTGACCTCAAATACTCTCCTTTCGCGTTGTTTTTATGATATATATGGCAATATTTCCAAACGACAGAGATCAAACAAAGATTTCGCCGATCATAACTTTATCTCTTCGCTAAGCTTCTTTTTCGTCGACGCCTTCGCAAGTGTAAAAATGAATCCTAAACTATGAGAACTTGCAAATTTATGCGTGACTTTCAGACCTACAAACCTGACGACATTTCGAGAAAGGATAGAAATTTTGCGAGCCCCATGATCTTTCAAGAGACCCGGCTTTACCTATTTCTATCGCTCTTCACGGATTAGCCACATTTAGGGAAGTCGGTTCAATGCCAAAATGTTGAAATAAAAAACCACCGTGCTGCAGGCCAACAATAATTCCTCTAAGATGCATCTTGTGTATTTCAAAGTGTTAAGGAGGCACAATTTATATTTATTTTCTTCTATACATCCTGGTGACTTGAATCAACCTTCGAAACAGCAAGGCTGGTGAAGGTCCATAAACTAAGAGGAACGTGAAAAATTCTGGCAAACCCGCTAACACTGAATTTCAGTGTTAGTCAGTTTTACCACACATCTTTGAGTGGAAAAATTCAAGAATGAACTATGATCTTTTTAAACCGTTCTCACTTTGCTTGACTGAATGATTCAGCTAAAACTAATCTTTCTAACAGAGTTACTGAGTAAAATAATATTGTTCTATGACCTGAACTCTGTTGGCGTATGTGGACATTTTGTAACCCTAACCCTGTTTTTCGACTCAGAAATCATTAAAAAAAAGCCTTACTTCAACTTTAGTCGCTTTAAGGGGATAAGTTTCTGAAGAAACTGTAGTGCTGTGTTGAGGGGTAGTATAACAAGATGATTTGTTTTATCAACTAAATTGATAATGTAAATTCGCCACCGAAAAGCTAACGTTTCGAGCGTAAGCACTTTTTATTACTCTGACCATTACCCCTACAACAGATACCCAGATCATATCTTTTTTCAGGAGCAAATGGATACAAGTTAAAATGTATCATTATGAAACCTAGTAGCATCGCCAAAAGAGCGCAAAGGCAACTTCACATCTTAGTCTGGACAATCTTCGTTAGAAACTCATTCGAAATGTTATTTTTCACAAACAATTGTATCCAACGGAAAGTCAATTTACGCATCACAAGGATGGAGAATACAAAAGATATGCGGCATGTTTCATAAAAAGAAAATTTGTCTTGATAACAACGTAGTTGATAATATTCTCGGACAGTGATGCCTTTGGCGTTTTTCTTTCTCCGATCATCAAACGACGTGACCTGCGTGGGTTGGAAGTGAATGAAGGTCTACGAAAGAGATCATTTTCACAACTTGGGAATCAAAACTAGTACATAACGTTTATTGGGTTTTGTTCCAAAGAAGGTAACCCATGGGATTTAAAGTCTATTTACTAGACAAGTCGGAATCAGACAATCCTGCATCACAGTGTTGAGGACCGTGAAACCGCAATATAGTATAAATTCAAAAGGTTCTATTTTCAGCTCATTTCAACTAATCAATTAGCTCAGTTAGATTTCGTCAATTTACTGTCGGATCTTAGTTGAAAAATTTGATATTAAGTGAATTACCTTGCCAGTGACTGTCATATCATGCTTTCTTTTTTGACAATACCAATTGTTTCTTTTCTTTTCTACCAAATCAATTTAAAATCTGTCTACTTGGTTTACACTATGAATAAACATTAAACAGGAAGTCAGGAAAAATCTGGAAGATACGTAGTAGAATAAGACTTCCCCCTCCCCTCCGCTCGGTATTTTCAGCCAATTAACGATGTTATGTAGTGGTGATTTTACTTTTGGAGGTAGGAGTCAAAGAGGTGCAACGTAGCAGATATCAGTGACCGCAAAAAATTAATACACCCTAGTATTCCAATATTATGTTAACCCAACGGGTGGCGGAAAGTTAAATCATTCCACTCAGCTACCTATGTATATTTGTTTAATCATTTCCCGTCATGTCTTCACTTAAAAAAATAATTACACCGGAGGTAGTGATATGTTGGATTATATAGGTTTTAGTTGGCCATGCACCAAAAAAAGCAAACAAACAAACAGACATGCACGGGAGTAATTATCCGACAGATTGAGTTTTCCTTCAAAGAGGTATTATTTCAGTTAAACCTAGATACATAAACATATATACACGAAGCAAAGGAGGAAGAGAGAGAAACAACGGGAGCAAGCTTTGGTGCATTTGGTGCATCTTATAGAAGTCCGTCTCAACTCATTAAGATGACTACCTTTGCGAACTGTTGTAGCTACTTGGGCTGGTAAACTCGTTTTCTCTACATCTCTTTCGTGCCCTTCAATTCTTAGTTGAAGCCGTGAGCTGAATATACCCGTTCGATGGTTTGCATACATTCAAACTCAACTGAAACGTGTCTTAGATACATCTCTTAATATTCAGTCGAATTTGGTGCAACGAAGGGGAGCCTCTCGGATGAGAATTAATACTAGTAGTTTTGAGCATTAATAACCATTAAAATCTGCGTTAAGATCAGTATTAGGAATAAAATCATAGAATAAATCAATCAATTCTCAACCTATAAATAGAAAGGTCGCCATGAAGACAAATTATGCCACGCACAATCAAAAGTTTGCAGGCGACCACCAGCGTTACATAACTTTGCATATGGGACGTGTGACAGTACACACAACCTCAGATATCGTCCCTTTTGGTCGTTAG